ATGCTTGCCCAAAATCAATGAGATGGAGAAATAGAAGAGAAGGCAGTGTTGCATGATCACATCAAATTTATGGAATGGATGCTTTCTCTCTCTTTCTCCCTCCGTCTGTCTCTCTCTGTTAACCACACATGCCCTCTGGGAATTAAAAAACCCACCCAGTCACCTACCCCACAGAAAGCTTTCTCATGAGTCATCTAGATAATTTTTCCACTTTAGACTTACTTCCACATAGCCATAGCTTCAAAGGATGATTACATCATCACCTGATCCCAGAGCTGAATGTATCAGTCAAAGAGCACATAATTGTGTGTGGATATTTTACATGCATACATAATGTTAAACTAAACTATTTTTGCTCAAATCAGCTGCTGTATTCCCATACTTGGATTCCTATGGATAAGTTGAAATTGTATATGTTAGGTTGTTTTCCTGAGCTCGTTAATAAATTACAGCCAAGCATAGTATCCACCATCCACACTTCAGTCAAACACAGAGTACCTCCCTTTAAGCTATTCATGTAGCCTAACATCTAGCTGCAACCAATCCAATTATTTCTCTACCACTCTCTCTCATTTTCAATTTTAGACATCACTTTCCCTTTATTGAACACGTCACTTTCCCTTTCTGCAAACTTATATACCCTGTGACCAAGTGGCTAGCCGGGGTCCCTCAGAAACATTTTCCAGGAGACTGCCTGATTTGAAATGGTTTTAAAAAATTGTGTTGGGGGATGGGAGGGAGGGACTCAAGGGGAATAAAAAAAAAAACTAAACATTTAATGGACATAAAAATGAAAAATAATTTGATGATTATGTGTATGATAATATCTTTGAATAAACTAATATGGAGTCTTCTCATGCTCAAAAAGTTCGTTTTGTATGCTGTAAAGATGTACAGTAATTAGATATTTAAAAAATAGGAAAAAAAATGGAGGGACCAGCAGATTATATAGTTGACTGGACTGCATCCATTACTGGACACTCAAATGGTTGACTATGGTTTGAGCCCTTGATCAGGTGCCTTAAAAAATCATGTCAGGGGGCCAGCAGTTAGCATAATGGCTGTGTCACTGAACTCCTATGTAGTCGACCGCAGTTCGACATAAGAATTGGGAAATTATTTGCTGAGAACATGTATGTTGATGTGCTTGATTGAGTCAATGCACAGTGTATTTTGGATGGAAAATTCATTTGTGAGTTATGATGGAAAAAAAAGAAATTATAATAAATGGATCAGAAATTAAACTACAAAAAAACCCCAAAAAACTCTTAGAATAGAAAATCATAGTCAGTGATACATTTTTACCATATGTAAAATGAGAAAAGCCAAAAGAAAATTGTAATAATGGTGCTCATTTTTACAAGTATGTTAAATATGATCTTATACTTTAGAAGGAAACATATTAAAATAATAATTTTTGTCCTGGCCTGGAGGGAGAGTAGACGTGGAACCCGGAGGGGAAGTGGGTGGTCAATTGAAAAAGAACAAAGACACAGACACACACGTAGAGAAAGGGGGTTCAGGAGTCCG